ACAGAAATATTACTATTACTGGCGTGGACACACTGACAAAAAGATCTTAGGATTCATAAAACTTAAAATAACAAAATAAGGATAATCAGTGCCGTTTACATGGCCTCAGTGGTCCTTTTGCAAATTACGGGCATCATATCAATTTCATTTTTACCTTCTTTGTTTTTAAAGCCAGAATGCATCCAAGCATCTGACTTGAAATGTGATGGAGCCGGGGGGGGGAATTTTCTCAGTGTCCTCCATATTTTGTTTATGAATGACTCGTCTCAGTATCCCGCGGCCAGAAATGCTTGTGACACAAAGCAGCGGGCGTCAACACATCCGCAGCGACATCTGCTGGACTGGAAGTTGTATACCACTTGATTTGGCTGATGTGCGCCAACCATTTATGTATTTTATTTGTTCATTTTTTTAATTTTTATAATCGATTCTTGCCTTCAAGAATCGATGCAGTAGATCACAAAAATTAGAATCGCGATGCATCGTCATGACGATTATTTTGCACACCCTTAGCGTTAAGCCAGTTTTTCTTTTTTTTCAAGTGCAAACAGCAACATGAAGATCTTTGCATAGTTTTACTGAGCCTGTGATGCAGATATACAGCGCGCTGAAGTTTTCAGCTACAGTTTAAACTACATAATGATCTAAAGCCAAGAGGATGAATGTTTGGAACATTGGTTTGGTAGAATAAAGTTGTCAAACCCATGAAAAGAAGAACGTAAGAACCTTGAAAGAAATGATCTCCTCAGATAAAAAAAAAAAGTGTAGCCTGATTTCCTGTAACATTATCAATCCCAAAGCTCTTTCTTTCAAACCTTTTCATGACTCAATGACGGCTTTTCACAATTTCAACGAATAGAGTGAAGGTCTTCTACACTAAAGATTCTTTTAAAGGAGATAATACATCTTTAAAATGGAAAAATCAGATGTTTTTATAGGGGGCAGAGGAAGCTGCTGAATCCATGTGAATATGTGAGCTAGATGTTGTCTGAGACGAAATAGGAAAAAGATCCAATTAATGGTGTCTAATCTTTGCAGGTTCTGTTACGATAAGCTAGGCTGCTCAATTTCTACAGGTGTCAAAATTTTACTTTCTGTCTGTTGCCTTTTTGTCTGCATTGGGTTGAACCTGAAGCAGCGATGCTAACCATTTAGGAAACAGGCTCTTAAGTTCAAATAAGCATTTAATGAATTTACCTTCCAGCTGGCAATAAAACTGCTGCCTAGCACCTACTGCGACATAATGACAGGAATAATGGGCAGCCAATCTACCAGCTGATGCTCTTCCTGTAGCCAGGAGACGAAGTTTTCCAGAGAAACTGGCATGCAGTAAAAATTAAAATGAAGTCCGAACCTATTACACTATGAGCTCAATTGCTTTCAGTTGTCCACTTAAAGCTATAACTCCACAGTTAGAGATCCTCAAGATGCCACGGTACTTAAACAAAAAGCTGAAACATGCCTATTATAACAATGTAAAGGCAACCCCCAATGCCACAATACAGGTACGCTTTCAGAAGTACAGTTATCTATTTTATCATCATTTAATTCATAACTTTAATGACACATTAATTAGATCAAAACTATATAATAAACAAAAACATACACACTAGGTTGAGAAAGAGCTTGTAAGGGATTCTTACGGCAGCTCTTCTCCCTGTAAAGTGAGTCAGGATTTATTTAGCTGGATATTTATTGAGGTTATATGTTGCACCTTACTTTGTCTTTCAGGTGTGGCTGGGGAAAGCAGAAATCTTTCAGCCAGCTAACAGACAGTGTGCAGCAACATGTGGTGGATGCAGTTTGTATAACCTTTCAATGGCTTCCTAAAACTTGAGATGCTGTAATAAAATATTTCATACATTAGAAATACGGTGCTGTGCCAACCTTATGTTATCGTGTTGGGAAGTCATTGACAGGTGGAGCTCAAAAAGCGTGATATGTGAAAATAATAATGAAAAACAGAAATAAAATTGCTTTAATTTGTTTTGGTGATTATGTTGAAAATCCAGAGTTAGGATACTTGAAAAATCCTTTTCCATAATTTACTGCAGCATGGCATGGCCAGAGTTCCACTATGGCCTAATAATGCTACCTGGACAAACTCTTTAACATCAAATCAATGTTGAAATATCCTTATGAGTGTGTTTCTTTTGTTTGTGATTTGTATTTTTTTTTTTTTAAAGATCAACATTTTTTTTTCTTTCTCAGAATCGTAATTGACTAAATCTGGTCAATCAGAGTCGATTCCTCTCCTCCACAGGAGGTTTAAGCTCTTTAATTAGAGTATTACGGAGTAGTATATTAGGGAGTGCCGGCCTAGTGGTTAGGGCATAGAGCTTGGAATCCAGAGGTTCTGAGTTTGAAACCCACTCCCACAGACTGCCACTCTGGGTGTCTGAGCAAGACCTTTAACTCCACACTTCTCCCCAGGCACCCCATGATGGCAGCCCACTGCTCTCCAAGGGGATGGGTTAAATACAGAGGTAAATCTATCCAATAAGGGATCAATAAAGTTAACTTATTATTTTTTTATTATTATTATTTCTTTCCAGACTGATAACCTGATGCCATCGAAGTCCACTGTCTCCACGTTCTGTGAAGCAATCCGCTTACTGGTAGAACCACAACTGAGCTTACCTGCTTATTTTATGAGGATCAAAGAGGATTTAATTAGTTTTTAATGATGTTTTTTTTTTAAGATTCTTTTTTTCAAAAACTAAATCTTTGGTTTTGTTACTGAATTTGGTTTTTGTAACTGAATTAACAGTGGTGCATAGTTAGGTCTTAGGTCTGGCATTCTTAATCTTCCATCACACACTCTGTATGTGGTGCTTTTTTTTTTTTGTTCAAGAAAAAAGACTTTTTCATTGGACTCTACTCTGAATGAAAAAGCTTGGAAACAGCCTTCCAAGCATGTTACCTAAGCAACGACCTATTGTAACTCCTCTGATTATGGTTTACACATACATTAGGGCAGAATAAACCCTCTCAGATAGTTTTAATGTTAAATAAGCCTCATCTTTTTAAACAGAAATGTAAATCATTGCCCAATCATGGGGAAAAACTGCATGGAGGCAAAATCCATTAAAAGCTTATTGCTACAAAAACTAGATAATCACCGTTATAACCATGGATATGGGAGGAAAGTTGATTAGAAGGAAAAAGATTTTTCTAAATATTTTTAGAAGAGTGGTTGATTGTCTTCACTGGTGCAGTAATTGATGCAGAAACCAAAAGCCTTTACTGACTTAATTTTAAGTGAGCCTGTCATTGCTTTGTCTGATGCTCTATTTCATAAAACAGCATTTTAGGTTTTTATTGTCTGCATACCATACACAGCCTACAATGTATCTCTGAGATGAATCAATGCGATTGGATTTGTTTGAATTGGCTGGTTTTAGTGCGCCAGGATGTGCGCAGAAAAGCCTCAAGCATCAAACCCAACTATTACTTAAGAGATGTGGTTAGAAAACAAAAAGATCTGCTTTATTTCTCCTGCAGACTGACCAAAGAAAGTCGAAACCGGCGTCAAACATGACAGCAGTATGTCTGTAAAACACAAAAAACGCCTTTTACGCATTGGACGCGTTTAAGTGAGACTCTGTAGAAACATGGAAGTAAAAGCAAAACTGTAAATATTAACGAGATGGAGACATTTAAACTTAATTTGTTTATCTTAAGTTTATCCTTAATTGAGAAAAATAAACACCTCAGCAGAGAGAAGAAAATAAATACTTTCACTCCGCTTTAATTGTGAGATGATTTAACAACAGGTTTGACCAGAGGAAGGAAGATAAAAGGGATAAGACAAAGACAGCTCATAAAGCTTTATGTTTTAACAAACACGCAGGTTTTAAAACGCAACTCATCCAAGTTTAACTTGGCTTTAAATAAAAAAACACAACCTGGTGGGAAAGCCGACAGTTTTAAGCGCCAGTTTAACTTCTTCTTGTTCAAAACGTGTAAAAACCAAAGGAAACATCAAAAAAATACAAACAGCGACGTCCTTTCAAACGTGAAGTTGCAGGGTTTTTCTTGTTATAGCGAAGCAAAGAGTAAACTCTACCTCAGCAGGGGGGCAGTAAGCATTCATCATATGAGGTCACAGATCATTTATTTATTTGATAAAGGTTTGTTCTTACCTGAGAGAATCGACTGCGTCCGGAGGATAAATCTACATTACTGTCCAACAGGAGATACAGGCGGAGAGCGCGTGTTTTTATGGTCCTCCTCATCAGGCACGGCGCGCGCTCACTGCCGCGAGACGCTCCTCCTTCAATGTCATGGACACCGACGCGCGTGCCCAAGTGCCGGTTCAGAACAAGCTGCTGTGGAGCTAAATATCTGTTTTACATAAATACCAGCAGCTGAATTAAAGGTTGTCTTTTTGATATCAATTATATAATTGTTTAAAATGGTGTTTTGTTTTTTTTTAGTGATTCTATATCCTAAAAAAATAATTTTTTAACCATTTTCCCCCATTTGAATGGATATAGTTTGTAAAACTGAAACATAAATCCCTTATTTGATAACATTTCTTTGACATCTTATGTTATTCTAAAACATTTTATAATGGTTAATACACAAAGGCAAACCTGATCAGACTGTTTGCTTTAAAGAAATTATGGATATGTAAAAATAAAAGGTTTTGTAAATGAAAACTATTTAAAAATATACTTAAAAAGAAATCAGTAGACAATAGAAAATAAAAGGCTTGATACATTTTCAAAATGTTTTCTTTTTAAGATTAATTTTTCTTTTTTTTTTTTTTACATCCTAGACATTTTATCATTTTGTTGCAGGGAAACTGAAATAACACAACACCATGAAAAGGCCCACAAACAGACAAAATCCTTGCTTTTTAATGGCTTGGAACGCCATTAAAAATAAATCTGTATAACCGCTCACCATGGCATGTATTTTATTAACTTACATCACTTTAAAAAGTCACAGGTAAAGAAGAAAGAAAGAAAAAAAGACACACCCACACAGACACCGAATGGTAATGTTTTTATTGCATGAATTGTAATAGCTGCAGTGGAATAACCTTTATTTTAGGTGAGCTCAGCTGGGTTCAAAGCCTTTCTGACATCTAAAGTGAGGTGATAATCAGATGGCACGTCAAATCTGGTTCACATTCCTCCTGATCCGGCCATCAGAGGCCCTGCTTGCACTTCTATACTGCATTTTGAGGGGTGGAACTTTTTAAAAAAATGAACACAAATTTAAATGGGCAGTAAGGAGAATAGTATGTGCTTTAGTTCATTTTGACATGCAAAACAGAAGAGAATGTAAGACGATGGTTATTGCTGGTTGTTTGAAATTCATAGTTGGTTTCAGGCAATTGAGCTGTGCTTTGGTGTTTCTCTCCCTCCAAGCAGGTAGTTTGCTAAAAAGGAGTGATTCTGTGTGCAGCTGCCCATTCAGAGGGGATATGAGCACTTAAACTGAACAATTACTAATCAAAAAATCATTAAATAAACTATTCCAATGCAGTATACAAGCCCAAAGATGATAGAGACACAGAGCCATAACTCCATCTACAGGTTATTTGTTGAACTGCAGTGAGAAAAGACATTTTGAAAAGTTTGCAGCTGTAAAGTTTGATACATTTGGACAACAAAAAATGAACAAATGGCAAAGCAGCTCCCTTTGACTTTAAATAGACCAGTCACAAATTAAAAAGTATTTCTCATTATAGAACTTGTAAAATGGTCTCTTAAATTAAAGGTAACTTGGTCACTCAACTGTCAGTGAAATACTAATAAAAAAAGAAAAGAGTAGCAGAAATCATAAATGGTGATGTAGTAATGTACCTGAATGTTTGTTCCTACCCCTCCCCACCTTCCCTTTTCATTTCGAATAAAGGACCTGAAGATATGGGCTCTAATGTTAATTATACATCTATCCATACTATGTCCATATAATTAATAAAAAAATAAATACATTTAATGAATACAAACGATTCTGTAGTAGGCAGATTACCAAATAAACGAATCCCCTCCCCATAGTTTAACGGTTGACACATTTCAAGTGTAGGGTTTATCATAAAATGAATCACAAATACAGATTCAAATCTGCAGTTTTAAAGCCTTTACACTGGTGTGGTAGTGGTACTGAGCTCCACTCTGTCTTCTATAGAGACGTAGTCTAAGCCCCGCCTCTGTCCCGGCTAAGTATTAACACCGTAGCGCAATTAGAGGCTGGGGGACCAGGAGTAAAAGTGGATGCTAATGATTTCCGCTGGCAATGGAATCTAAAACCATCTCTTGGCTTTAACCAAACAGGGACAGGAAAAATAATTTGCACGTTTGTGACTTCAATCAGGAAATCTGGTAAAAACATATGAAACTTCTGTTAATCGTTTTTTTTTTCTGTTGTTGTTTAGTTTTTTTTTGTTTAGTTTTTTTTTTTTTGCATATGCTCCTTTTTGTGTAAATTTCTGAACAATCTGTTTAGGCATAACAAAACAGAAGAATCAACCAACAGAAAAATATCATGCATAAGTTCTTTCCCATTCTTACTGATTGGTTTGTAAGTGACCCGCTATAAAAAGAAAATCTGTGTTCATTGTTCAGCATTATATTTTTGTACATTTTTGCTAATTTACTTTCTTTTTTTAAGTATTTTTTAACAATATTTTTAATCCTTTTTTTTTCTCCCGCCCAGCCAGCAGTTCCATTAGTTGGTCCAGAGTAGGATTCCTGACATCCAACCTGTTTAATCCTCGACAGATTGAGGCACGAGAGGCTGGCTGTGGGAAGGGAACCCGCTCCGTTAACTGAAGGTGTTGGGAAGCAAATGAATGTCTGTTTTCGATTCAGTTTATAAGTTAGACCTGTGTTCAATAACACTTCCTTTTTCAGCTAGAAAATACTTGCCACCATTCATTAAAAAAAGGGTGACCGATTCTGCAGAAAACTACCAACAATCTCCCTCCTCTGGCAGCAGCAGTGGGACGGGATAGTCAGTTGCAGACAGGGATGGGATGCAGGGGTTGTGGGTGAGGATATCGGTGAACAGATGAAACCCTATCTGAAAAGGTCCTCTTGAGTGGAATCTCGCAGGTTTTTCCTCTTCTTGCTGTTCCCTTGATGGTGTGGCTTGTTGCTCTGATGACTTTTAGAGCTGAAGTGGAAGTTCTGCTGTCCGTGGTGGCCTCCTTTGTTGGAACGAGTCGTCCTGGCCTTAAAAAAGAAAAAGACCACAAAGCAACAATTAGACCCTAAGGGATTCCCTTAGATTTATTTAATGATCCATAATAATTAATCATTTGATTCAGGATTGTTGAAGATGAGTTACAGGAAATCAGTCTCAGAGGACTGCAGATTAAGACCGATTCTTTTTAAAAGCTGATAAAAAAAGAAATATTACATTACAGCATCATAAACATTAAGCTGTAAAATAAAAATGTTTGGTTCAACTTTTATCTATTTTTTTTCTCTCAAAATCAGAGTCGCTGTTACACAAGACAGAGACGACTGCAACAAATTTAATAAAATTGTCACAACTTTCCCACGAAAATACCATGAGAAAGATCAGAAATATCAGGTCCTTTGAGTAAAATCTGTTCTCCGTCCATCATTTGTTTGTGATCATCAAAGATCGGTCAATGGGGTAAAAAAAAAAAGAAAAAAAATCCTTCTCTAATGAATCTCTTCTGCTCAACTCTTGTCTAAAGGAAACTAAAGTATTTATTACTTTGCATTATTAGAGCAGGGTTTACTTGAAATAAAAATTTAAGACCAAATTTACATGAAACACAAGAAAAACATTATTTTAACATAAACCACTGCACTAATGTTTCAAATGTTGAAAAGCTTCCCATACAGGAAGAAAGCTAAAAACACACAAATGACAGATATATTTTAACAATCATTTAACTGAAATTCACAAACTTCGTTTTAGCAGGGAACAAAACAAATCAGTTTTAAAGCTCCAACATAACCAGTGCTAAGTCTTTTTTGCAGCTATTTTTCTTTGTATGGTTTTCTTAGTATGTTTGATTTGGTGATAAGTGGAGGCGTTGCAGAGACAAGGGTGGAACTAAACTGAGAAATACCGGCTGTTTCTCGGTAACTCCATTTTGACGCTTTGTGTTTCTCACTGCCTTAATTCCCATCGTTCCGAGCTTGAATGACTTCTTGCATAAATCCACTGAGCCTCATGTATGTTCCCTGGTTTTAGCCGTGGAGGAAACTCTTGGCTGGAGACAATTTGGTTCCATTTACACTTGCTCATATTTTCCAGACAAAAAGTTAATGGCGCATCTCCCAAATGTCCCGGCCACAACAACGCTTTATTTGTTCCGCTATCGGGATGGAACCAATAATGGCGAGCCATTATTTTTTTTTTATAAAAAGAAGAAAAAAAATTTGTCAATTTTAACATTTTATTTAGATTACAAAAATAAATCGTAATAAAAATAATCCTGTTTATAATGTTTTAAAAATTAAGACCTACGAAAGACTGATTTAAGACATTTTTATACCAATTAAGGCCTTAATTTTATTTTGAAGAATTCAATGCCTTTTAAGACTTTTTAAGGACCTGCGGGAACCCTGACTTTGCATTATTAGAGCATCTAAGATGAGGAAAAGAGTCACTGCACCACAGAGATGTTTCCTCTGTCAGTGAACCCGGCTGTATCAATATGCACATACTGCTAATAACCGTTTTTCGGCGGTGATGGAACATAAGGCTACTTGTGTGGCTAGTAGGATAAAGGGGCAGGGTTTGTTCTGGGATTCACGGGTAAAGAAAACCTGACTGTTTGAGGTACTTTAAGAACAAAAGCAAAACTAACACAAAGGGATGTATGGGGTTAGAAGGTTGGTGTTACCTTTCCTCCTTTGCTGCTTGCAGGTGGAGTGCTGGAAGAGTGGTTCTGGATCCGGTGGTTTCCGACAACGTTGGATTTTTCTCTATGAGTACTAGAGTTTCGGACAGGCTGTTGTTTGACTGTCTTACACGGTGTACCATCAGAGTCCTGGAAAACACCACCGACAACAGAAATCTATATTAAAATTAACTCCAGAAAATGTAGTGCTAAATTTCTTCTTTTTTAAATTCACTTTTAATAACCACCTTTATCCGCCTTAATGGATGAAACAGGGGTTTTAAATCTGTATATTTTGACATTTATACTGTCCAAGAATTTGGACAGATGTGTGGGGACTGACCGCGTCGCTGGAGGACGTGGAAGACGGAGACAGAGGGGAGGAGGAAGGAGACGAGCCCAGGGATGGGAGCGGAGAGGACGTGTTGGAAGAGGATTTGCTGTGGGGAGCTGAGGGCAGAACCACAACCTCATTGTCTGGGAAGTTGTTGTTGCATTCGTCAAGCTGTTTGGACTCCAGCAATTTGACATCGTTTCCTGCGGGGAAGGGAGAGACAACGACGTGTGTTGTTTTTCCAGCTCCAATCAGGTTAGAAGGATGTTTGATCGGAAACATACTGTTGAGAGAACGATCGTACTGAGACGGGCTGTCCCAGTTCTTTCGGATCCATTCTCTGTACTCATCCACTTCCTGAGTCACTCGGACTATCCGACCAAGTATGCTGAGGTTAGGAACAGTAAAGGAGACGGACGTTAGTCTTCAAGTAGCATCAAAGCAGACAGAATTAACAAAAAGAAATACAGAAGTAGTGAGTTATTCCCTTATCTTCTTACCTCTCCTTCTCGTTGTTGGGGTAGTACTTGGCGATGGGTGACACCGCATGGCTGAGCACGACGTAGGCATAATCAAACGCCTGCTTCACCTGCATTGCGCCATAGCAGCTCCTGCCAACGTCGTTGTCTGTAGGACAGGCAGAGATAACGTGTCAGCGGTTGGGATTCTACCATTAATCGCCCTCTGTGTTTGTCTTAGCGGTTCCTACCTGGCTGCAGGGGATCCTCAATGTAGAGCATGGAGGGCCTGTACCCATCCAACATGTTTTTCTGAACATCATCTTTGGCAACGTAGCGACCGCCGTCACTTATCTTGATGCCCGTCTTCAGGTAGTTGAAGTTGCGCCCGTACAGCTCGAAGAACTCGATTAACAGAACGCCGATGTTTATGTTGGGGCTGGACACGTCCCTGTTATGCAGCTGGAGGAAAGCAAAACAAAAGCATGTGACTCGCTGGGAATTCTGGGGGAGATGAGACTATCAGGGATGCAGGGATTCGCTGCTTTAGAAAACGCCTGAGTGGAGTAAAAACCGACCTGCAGGAAGCTAACAGCCATAAGGAAGAGAGTGTAGGAACCGATTCCGCCTGTAAAAACCTCATTGAGGTCCCTCTGGAGGAGAAACTGCTTCAGCACGAGGACCAGGTAAGGCAGCACAGGATATTTCTGCAAGACGGAAAACAAACAGGAAAAACAAAATCATCAGTGGTGAAAAAACTCCATGTTGCATCATTTTTAATGTGTCCAATGCCCTGATAGGAATAAATAACCTCTTTGATTCCTGCTAATGAGCTGCTTATGCAAAAGCTGCAGGAGCCACATCCTTGAAGTGCTAACTTTGACACCTGTGCTCTAGATGCTCTGGGATAAAAAGGTTTTAAGTGTTTCAAAACCTGCACCTAATATAAACAGAACAGTTATACCAGCACACCGTCTGGATTATTGATTAACACTTGCATTAAAACTGAACTAGATTACTGATTGTTGGGAGTCATTCTACAGCTGAGCAAAGTATCACTGCAGATCCCACCTCTTTAAATTCCTTGATGAGCCGAGCAGCTTTGACTCCTCCGTTCACATTGAAACTGATGTCCACTTTGACCTCAGTGAAGGAGTCAGTAAGTTTGATTATGGGAACCTGAAAAAAAAAAAAAAAACACAAGCAAAAAAAATGACTTAAAAAAAACAAATGGATGTATGTTTTACATTAAGCTCAATAAGAATCATAAAACTCTAAACTATAATTTGCAATTTTAGTTTTCCAGAGGGGGTCCTAAATGATAGGACATTAGGAGGAGGGAGACGTTACCGTGGCTTTATCCAAAACTTTGATGGAGTCATTATGTGCAACATTCCTTTTTCGCAGAGCTTCTTCCAGAGTCCAGAGAGGGAGAGTCTCCCACTTCCCAAAAACCACCAGATCGATGTCACTGTCAGGAAAGAAGAGGCCAGACTTAAGTTTAGCTTCCCAAACCAAAACTTTTAACCAATGAGAAAGTGGTGCTCTGATAAACAAATCAGGCGTTTCCGGATCGACACCAATTCTTGCTATTTCTCAGCTCTGTCCTCCACATGCAAAGTAATTATTTTATTATAAAGGCTAAAACAAATACAAGAAACATTGTCTAATGGTGGGAGTAATCTCCAAGGATTACAAGATTCTTCCATGAAAGCAAATATCACAACAATTTATGTGTTAAAAGGCGTATTAACTATCAATGAGCTTAGAGGCCAAAGACGGAGGGAGTTTTCTAGTTTCTAACACACCTGCGATTCATCAACCACTGCTGAAGGAGCTAAATTTGGCTGATTGATTAACGATTAGTGCATCTCAATATAATGCTTAAGCCCTGAACAAATTATATAAATACCAACTAAGCTGAATCGGGTGTAAAAACAAAACAAGAAATTCACAATTTAATTGGGTTTAACGAGTTATTATAATTGATTCAAAACCTGTTTCTACCCTGATATTTCAGATCATTGAATTTGCTAAAGAGTTTGACATTGGTTCCCCCTTGTGGACAAAACATGCTACTTTCTTCTTCAGCTAAGATCTGCCAGCATTTCTAAAATGAAAGGCAAGATCCATTTCTTAAAGCTGCAACATTTTACTGAAGTTACTAGTTTACAAACGAGCAAAATGGCAATTATATTTCATTATAAAGTATGAATTAACCACTTTGAGTTTCCATTAAGTAAAACCAATAAAAGTGTTCTCTAACTGTGATAAATATTGTTGATCTAGTCAGTTATTTTCTATTAAAACTGCCAAAGGTCCAGAGCTAACTAATAACTGGGTATGAAGTGGAGCAGTTATTGTCTTCTGGTAGCGTCTCACCAGCAGAGGCCACTCTTTGATTCAGAATCAGCTGCACATAAATCAAACGCAGAAAGAATGCAGAACCTCCAGAGAAAAAGATAACCTGAGTGGAAAGTTTACACTTATTTCATTAATTAGCTTCTTTTGTCGCCTTAAAGCAGCAGAGTTGCTGTAATAAAGTTACTTTTCTTCCAAACCTAATTCGTGGAGTTTATGAAATCATCACCATGACCAGAGACCCTTTAGATTGAAGTGATCAGTTGTGAACTGGGATGAAGCTTGGCCATTTGGGGTCAGAGAGTCTTTGGTTGCCGAGCAACCATTACAGCATGAGACTTAGATCTATGAAGCCAGAATACTTTTGAAAAATATCCTGATGTTGATGTATAATACGCATCAGAGGAAAACACAAATCTTAGAAAACATAACAAGGTTAAAACCGTTAAATAAATAATAATTCAGATGAGGGGTCTTAAGTTTAATTATAAACAGGACATGCCTTCAGGATTCTGTTTGAATGGCAGATTAATATAGATTTCAATATTCTCCATTCTCCATGAAGTCTAGGGGAAAGGAGCTATTTTGCAAGAACAATCAGATTTATGAACATAACGGAAAACTTTTAATGCATAATATTGAGGATAAATCAAACATTGTTGCCTGAATTCCCAGCAGTTGTACTGTGGCTGCCGGCATGTGAAGATGAGTGAATTCTTCATTTCCTAATAAACATCCTGAAGAGTTTAATGAAATCATCTCACCTCAAAGATTACATTTAAAATCAGCCAAGATTTACTGAAAAAAAAAATAAAAGCCCTAAATAAGGCAATTGTGAATGTTTGGATATTGTCTGAATGAGTGTTTGACTTCCACCAAGGCAGTAGGGTGAGTGCTGTGACTGGGAATCAGGCACCAGAAAGGCCGCCAGTTGGCTAACAGCTGTCGACGTGAAACTCTTTTAGAAAAATCAAGTGCGATCTTAAGAAACCGAGTGCATATTTGAAATTAAGAATATTGGCCTAAAACTTTTTGAAAAAAGCATTCTTGAAAGTGTATTATTTCAATTTTCACTTCATAATTTTTGCCGTCGTTCGCTATTGCTGCTGGAGCTCGACTAATCAGAATCATGAGGAAATGTTATGATTCGTCCATCAGATGGGCGTCTTGGTGAGATTCATCTTTCGAAGGATGAAACCTCTAAAATTTAGACACAGCAGGAGCTGATGATCTGCTTTTTGCTCCATTAAACAAAGGAAATCCACAGACCTGAATCAATGACCTGAATCTTTCCGTTTTTGCTTCTTTAATCATGTGTTGTAGTTTTAACCCCCACCCTGGGTTTCTGTTACATAAGTAAATCCTGTGTGACACTCAGCTGTTTAGTTTAAAATCAGAGACAAGTCTAAGCTTGCGAAACATCTGGAAGAATTTGCATCGATCTTCATCTCCAGCTTACCTTGTTGGCAGATAAAGGCCTGTGCTGAAACTCCCAAAGACTTGCACCTGAAGAAACACAAACAATTATTAGTCTCTATTCAGACAACCTTTATTCCTAATTGTGTTGTTTATGTTTACACTGACAGAAGAACAACTTCTTAGGTTAGGCAGTGATCTGACAGGGATTAAAACTATATATATGTTTAGTTTTTTACCATTTAAACGCTTGGTGTGGTAAACAGCATGCAAAGTTGGGGGGAAAAATAAACAAATGTAAAGATGTTAAGTTATATTAGTCAAATAATCTCTTCATTTTGGTGGCCTTTAGAATAGAATATCTATTTATTGTCCCAAAATAATGAAATTATGTTGCAGCAGCAACACAGTGTTAGGCTTTATAGAGAAACGGTCACACAAGTATAGACATTAAAAAATGTATTAATAAAAGAATAAGGTGAGAAAAGGTTAAAAATAAAAGAAATACTGTACAGTAAGAGCAAAAACAAGTTTTCGATAGGAATACTGTGCAGTAAACAAACAAAATTATAATACTTAAGTCAAGCTATCAAATGTTTCCCCACTAATGACCTTTAATCTACTAATCTTAATGAGCGAGCTAGCTGGAGGCTACAAACATTCTCATTTCCCTTTTAACACCTACGCTGCTAAACAGAAATAGATTTAAGCCCTGACCCCAGTCCCTACGCCACCATGTAGTAAACAGCTCAGTCACCGGCTAAAGATCCTAAGAGGATTGTGAATGAATGGAGCCCAGAGGACTTCTGGGACTGTGGCGTTAAACGTCTTTGGTGACAAAGGTTAGCTATGCTTTGTCTCCATTTTCTCAGCTGTGGCCGTTTAGCTCCATGTCTCAGCTACATTTTAACACCAGATTTAACGCACCAGAGTGTGGTGAATTGCTTTCAACAAGTCTTTAACGCGGAGTAATTCTCTTTGAGGTGTGATGTTAGGCTGTCCTAAATGACTGATGTTTTGTTAAGAAGGACTTTTAAATAATCAATTTAAACCAGTAACTAGAACTGTGAACCAAACGTTGTACTTAGAAAGCAAAGGATTATCATAAGGTCATTTATTTCTGTCTCTTGTCTGGAGGAAAAGTTCTAAAATATTCACTAGTTGCATAAAATTACTTTTCCAAAACAGCTCAGATCGGTTACTCTGTCCTGTAATGGGTTCTGAGGATTGGCCTGATAACAGACATACAAGCTTTCCAACATTTACCCAAAGTTTTAAAGTGTTTTTTTTAGATTTCTGTTCTGCTTTTTCTTCATATGATCCAGCTTCAAAACCAGTAGGGTTTTATCTGTGCTTTTCTGTCATTTATTCTTCCCTCATTGTAGTACAGGGTTGCTACAGCATAAGGCAAGTTAAATTCAAGACTTTTTAAAGCCACTTGAACAAAAAATTTAAGACCGAATTTACAAGAAACACAAGAAAAACCCTCTTGCGACAACCTAACCCAAAGGTTTATTTTAACATAAACCACTGCACTAATGTTTCAAATGTTGAAAAGCTTCCCATACAGGAAGAAAGCTAAAAACACACAAATGACAGATATATTTGAACAATTATTTAACTGAATTCACAAACTTTGTTTTAGCAAGGAACAAAACAAATCAGTTTTAAAGCCACAACATAACCAGTGCTAAGTCTTTTTTGCAGCATCTCCCAAATGTACCGGCTGGAACAACGCTTTTATTGGTTCCGCTTTTAGGACAGAACCAATAATGGCGAGCCATTATAATTTTTTTTTTATATAAAAAAAATGTAAATTTTAATGTTTTATTTGGATTACAAAAATAAATCATAATAAAAATAATCCTTTTTATGAGGTTTTAAAAATAAAGACCTACGCAACACTGATTTAAGATATTTTAATACCAATTAAGGCCTTAGTATTATTTTGAAGAATTCAATGCTTTTTAAGACTTTTTAAGGACCAGCGGGAACCCTGTAGTATTTAGATGATAATAATTTAAATAAAATGAAAACTTTTCTTTTTTGCCATTTTTTTTTTTAAACATACCAAAGCCTTAAATGTGATAGACATGAACTGAATCGGATAGTGATAGAGATGAAAATACTTATTGTCAAGTGAGTGTTTTTACACAAATGACAAATAGAGGATAAAAGAAAAAATTAGATGCTCAAAACCAAAACACTGCCTCTTTAGCTTCTGTCATACATGAGCTGATCCACCGGTGTGATGTCACAGGTTTTGTAGCTGCAGCCGAAAGATTCGGTTGATAAGCTGTGTTCTCAGATTTGGCTAAACAATCTGATCAATTCTCTTTATCCTCACGTTAATAACAACCCTCCATTCTTGGGGGAAAAAAGGAAAGCTCCACTCCTCTTATTAACTGACTTTTCATCCCATCTTTGCGCTCTGCTAAAGCCCTCTTCTCCAGGAATCGTGGGAGTGAGAAACAAGTGAAGACCCAACAGCATATCCATCAAAGTGAAAAAGAACTGAAATATTTCAGTGGATCCAGTTAGTGAGCCAATCATGCTTGGTTCTTGTGAAGGGATGGATTAAACAGGGGTTCTGAAACGATTTATTTTTTCTCTCCTCTAAATTTGAGCCCTAAAGGTCCTTTTCACTTCCTGAAAAACAGTTAAACTTTTAAAAACAATTTTGAATATATTTTAAAAGGTCAATTTGCTGTTTAAAATAGCTTATTTAATTCAATAAAAGCAGATTAATTTCTTCTTTAAATCTGTACATTTTAGGTAAAAAGTATAAACAATAACACCCATTTTTTATTTACATTTATGACTAGTTCCTAGGAACTTGGTTATTATCAATAATAACATATTTTTTGGTGTGAATGCTCCTTGGTTCTTTAAAATTCTTCAACAAGAGGGTAAAGAATTAAGAAAGATTTGATGATTTACATGAGTTTTCAATTTAACATCTTATCTCCACGTGAAACTTACAGGTTTAACAGTTTATCTGGTATTAAAACAGTGGAAATGTTCTCAAACGAGCTCTATTGAATAAGCGGGCATTGAAAAGACTGGAGGACCATGTCGTCGTCGTCCCCCTCCCTCCCGCTGGTTGCAGAACACAAGGCTGTCTAAGACTGGAGGAGGACTTTGCTTCTTATTTTAGGACCAGAGCTTAGAAACCCGCCGCTCTATCAGCAAGATCAAAGTCAGTAAATGCAATAATGCTTAAGGTGGTGCTGATAAGTTGTGCCCAACAGTACGGTGGGGCAGAGATAAAATTCAGAGGACATTTGTTGCTAGTGGCCCGATACCACATCAACCCTGACAGCACTGCAGGCTGCTGTGATCCAGAGCTGTAAACTACAGATGTCACCACGTGCAGCTTGGTGCCCAACCGTATCAGTGCTAATAAGTTACTAATAATTCTGACTGTTCACCATTTTGCTTTGATTAAAGGACGTTAAAGTGTGTCTGCATGCATTAAGTTTACCTCAGCACTGGGCCACAGGTCTTGGATGACTCCTTTGATTCTGTCCACAACCTCTAATCTCATCTTTTCCTCCTCTGGCCGTGGAGAGATGTACTCGTAGAAATCCTTGATTTCCTCGTGCAAGCTGTAAAACGCAGAGTAAACAAACTATTGAGACTGCAATGGAGGAGAGTGAGAACAGGCACGCCAGAGGAAAAGTGACATGCTGACGGTTAGAAACAAAAAAATAGAACTTCAAAAGGTTGGTAGTCGGAACACAGATGTGAACAGATGCAGAGCGACTGATAAGGGAGTCAGACGCTCCATAACAATTTGTAAACAGAATCGTTTTTCTTTAATTTTCTTAATCCACGTCCTGATATCTGATGTCCTGCTTATGGGCCTGTGGGTCATTGTGTACGTTAGCCATCTAAAAATCTGATTGGTTGGCTTCGTCTTCGTCTGAGCTACAGCTTCAAAACAAACATGGCGGCCAGTTTATCTGCTTTCCTCTAAAATTAAGTATCAAAATTGTTCCAGTCAAGAAGATTAAAGTGACATGAAGCATTCCAGTTCTTCGAAATAGGTGGCAGTAAGTGTGCCGACAGCAGATATACAGTTAATACATTCAAGTTATCTGTTGGTTGTTGTCAGATTTTAAAGGAATGTGTTTTACTAAAACAAGGAACCTTTAGTTAAAAATTAAGCTTTTTATATCTGACATTCTGAATACATTTTTCTATTTAGAAAATGCCTTTACTGAAGTGATTAATTGTATTTATTCATAAACCATAAAATGCAAATGAATTAACCATTTGGTTAAGAGACCAAAATATGTCTTTTAAAGGATATTTAATTATATCACTAGATTTCAATTTTACTTAAATATCGACTTTTACAGAAGAACCTTTAAAAAAAAAAGATTTTTCACAGATGAACTGATATTTAAAAAAAAAAAAAGCCAATGCCGATACCAATTATTTTGACAACATTTCAGACATGTGCTGCCAATTTTTGGGGCCTTCTTTAGGCCGATATTAGGTTTTCTTCCTCCCAGTGATGGGTGTGCTTCGGTGGCTCGGTGGTTAGCTCGCATGTACGGAGGCCTTAGTCCTCGACGTGACTTTCGCCGCGTATCTATCCCCCTCTCTCGTACCCAACTATACAAAAAAAACAAGCCAATAATGCAGTAAAAATAAAGAAAGTACAAACCAAAAAAATTAATTACCCAGTATTTTAAAAAAAAAAGTCTCACCTTACTGAACAAACAACATTTATTTTTAAATAAAGAACAAAGATAAAAGATTGATTGAAAATGCAGACAGCTTTAAGAGATCTCAAGGCATGGCTGCAAAATGTTAACCTGACTCCGCCAGGTGGATTTGCTCTGCATATCCATCTGGAAACCTTCCGTTGAAGTAATTTTGGGAAGGGGCGAAAATACTGGTTAGCTGATTGGCCTATGTTGGTGATAGACGGGCCAAATAAACCAATCAGATCAACGAAGCATATGACGTACTAACAGAGCGACGACGAAAACACAACCACAAGCCAGGCTACTCTTGCCCAAACCAGTCGGGAGAAGAGCAAAAACATCTTTTCCTCTGAGAAAAGCCTCCAGAGCAGTGTTTTGCTCTTCTTTCAGTGAAGAAATACTCTGTAATTCCGATAAAACTTGCTCGATAGCCACGCTAACGCTAGTTTCATCGGCTGAAGCCGCCATGTTCTTTAGACTGAACTGTCGCGCTTCTCGTTGCATCACACCTCAACCCGCCTCAAAGCCAACGCTGATTGGACGTTCGTTTGGTGAACTCCAAATTTTCTTTAACGGAAAGTAGCCAGACTGTTCTGCGAGTGAAACCTTGAAAGCTCGTGAGATCAGGATGGTCTCACGAGGCTAGCTGAATGTAGTTAGCAATTAACAACCATTCAGGACCGTAATGACACAAGAGATAAACTTAAAAAATAATCAAAAATATCAGCTGGCTTATACTTTTTTTACTCATATCTGTTTAGGCTAATTGAAATATATTTATCATCATCAATAAGACCAGGGGCCCTAATAAAGGTTTGATCATTTAAACTGTGATTAAAGGAATATTAAAGCTGCTGATCTTTACCAGAAAAACTACATCTACTACAAATCTTGTTTATTTACTAAACTGACCGACGGACAACCTATCAGCAAAAACAAAGAACTATTTTGTAATCATTGACTTTCCTTAGGAATCCGGCAACAAACACTTCCTTCTGTGTAAAGATGCCTTTTTTTTAAATAAAGAAAATAGTCTAACCAAAAGAGAACCCAGACGAGAACAAAAAGACAATCAGTGTCATTATGTGGTGTAAAAATCTGGACCCGGGAGACGCGCAACAGAGGGGTTCCACATTTGTCCTTGGGACAGGCCACTCTGCTCACACGTGCCGACCTTTACATGCTGCAGTTTTGGCACGTGGACACGGGGACAGGTCTGTGTGGGCGGACAGACAGCAACGCAAACAGCCATTAGGGGAGAAAACACATTTCACTTGTGTGAATAAAATAAGAATACAACACTAAGCATATGACAGAGCTGGACATTACAAACTCATACAGCTATAAACACTAAATGACTATTTTTAGGTCACTATTGTGACCTAAAAATGCACTGTGCAACTTGCTCCCTACAAATGTTCTAGCAGGCTTTTCTGATGCTAACAGTGATCTTATTATCATGTGGCAAGAGCACAGCCAGGAAAGATTTCTACAACTTAAACAACAGAATAAACATGCAAAGTAAAGAGCCTTCTCTTTAAAACTAGCAGACATAAGTAATCATAAGCGTGCAGCTTTTATGGATGTTGACTTTGCTGCCATTAGAAGCCTGTAATAATTTAACAGCCTAATTAAAGTGGCTCAAATAAATTAATCAGCTGTTTCAGGGATCATTCAGCACTTTTCCTATATTTGGAAAGATTCGTTCTTGATTTTTTTTTCCAGGCGATGAGCTGCAAACACCAAAGTGAATGACAAACTTCTTATTGTTCATGCCTGATTTAACTTTTTAAGAACTGAAGAAATAAAGAAGTCAGAGCATTTTTCAAAGCTATCTATAACCTATTCTAGCTACTGTATAATCTACCTACTGTAACCTATTGTATAATGAGAATAAAACAAGTTTAAAGTCTAATTAAATCTTACAACAGAATGTTTTAATGTCATAAAAGCGTATGTCTGTAAATAAATTCAAATAAAACCAATGTGTTTAGGTTTTAGCAGAGTCAACGGATAGATGACCCATATTTACATTCTAGATAATGCACAAAAGAAGCTAAAATGACCTGCTAGAAGCAGCAGAAAACAGTTTGATCCTGTTTCTCAATCCAACAAAAGATTGAATGACTCGCTTCTTTCCCCCATGATGCCTCCAGAGAGTCCAGGAACTTCACACACAAGGTTTCATTTCAGATGAAGAGAAACTAAGCAGCTGATATCTGCATAGCAACCATATTTGTTCTCATTTCACACCACAAGGAGAGGATCATTTTTGTGTCATTACAACAGCTCAGATAATCTCGGGTCATAATATGCTAATCTAGTGGGATTTACACACGCAGCGAATCGTCAAATATTCAGAATAAAAACCTTTGTTGATATCAGAGGTTAGAGGAGGCTGACAGATTGGTTAGAGACAGTAAGGCAGCATTTGGTGGAGTGAACAGAAAAGCTTTGCTCCTTTCTACTTTGTCTCTCCCACTAAAATCGAAGGTTTTTTATCTCTTAAAATTGTTCAACCTGAAAACACACTGTAAGGTTTTAAACACCAGTCGCTGCTGTAGAAACCAGAATAACTTCATGTTCCGCATCCTCGCTTCTTTTTTCTGGTGAAAAAATGTCCAGTGTTTCCCCATATTCAGTGACCCATCATATATTGTGACTCGAGCTGCTGTTGCAGATTCTCCTGACCAGTCTATAATTTACAAATCCTAACTCTTCCCAATTAAGCAGGAATCCTACTTAAACCTCATTCTTAAGTGAACTGTCAAAAAATCTCTTTTCAATCATTTTTTCACCTTTACCAACTACATTGTAGACAAACTATTACAAACAGGATCTCTAATCACATGAAAAACGGAAAAGTTATATGTGAATTTTAATTGGCAAGCAAATTAAAATTCAATCAACTATCTGGATTTAAAATTACAAATATCTATGATATTATTTTGATTATTATCAAAATTATTACTCAAATGTAGTATAAACAGTCATTTAGGATATCTATAACATAGGGATGGAACGGTTTATGAAAACCATCCGAACCGTTCGGTTCGACTGTCTCGATTCGCGTGTGTTTCGTTCAGTTGATGCGCTGCTCCTTTTTCTCATAGGCGAAGAGTTTACACTCCAGAGCAGAAGGTGGCGGTACTGCGACCAAAGCCAACCACCAGTAGTAAACAAGAAGAAGAAGAACCGAAGCAGCGTAGCCGGGTGTAGCAGAAAAAAATCAGTTGTTGTGGAGAATTGTGTGGGTATGGCGAGTGGGAAAGAACAGGAGTTGGAAGACGCGCCAGCAGCACTTTATAGGTCTGCTGTATGGGACCACTTTGCATTTAGAGTGACCTACGATGACGGCGGAAAGAAAGTTGTGGATAAAAGTGCAAGTGTGCAAGCATTGTGCAACACGTTTTGTTTGCCAACAGCAACAAAGCAAGCCTACAGCCTCCACTGTGGCTCCCGTCCGCTCCGCTCTGAGGTCCTTGGAGATCGTAGAGGGCATGTGCGAGATGATTAAATTCAAGGCAGCAAAACATGTGGAAATGATCCAGGGTTTCCGTGGATCAATAAAAATAATTACAATTCATTAATTTTTGGGGATTTTTTTCATTAATTTCATAAAAAAAAAATTTCATTAATTTTTATAATTTTTTTTTTTTCGGTGTAACATTAAGCATATACCGAACCGAAAACCGTGATCCGAACCGAAGATTTTGTGAACCGTTCTACCCCTACTATAACATCAGTCTCACTTGAGATCGACCGATACAAGTTTTATTTAAAGGTACACTATGCAACCGGTGTTGATTTTCCAGCGAGACTCCCCCCAGAGGGCGAAAGTAAAAGTGCACTGTCGTAAATATGCACAGCTGTTCTCCTGGTTTCTCCGT